TGTGGGAGGCCTATGTTCAGCAGTGGACAAACAATATCTGACTGTTATCATGATTCTATTCTTCAAATTAATATACAGTTATGCAAGAAAAGCGTTGCACCATATTTTCTTTTGGTCATTGAAGTTATTTAAATAAATAAAAGCTACTTGAATTTCTAAAAAAAAACACGAGTGGTGTACGAAGAATTTTTATACAAAGACTCCTGTTAGATTTCTTTTGTATTTAATTTGTAAAAAGAAATCGTTGGAAACAAATCCTTAACAGGTTAGTAACAGAAGAGCCATAAGTTTGTAAAATTAATTGCCGTGTTGCTAGTAAAGACACCATAATAATAAATTTTTGTAGAATGTTTCATTTTGAAATTTAATAAATTTTTTTATTTATTTTTTATTTTTATTTATTATATTTATTTTAATTTAGACACTCGATTGTTAATTATTGGCTGTGTAAACTTATTGTACGTGTGAAAAATACATAGTTCAGTTTCTATAAACAATAAATATGGACGACGATTGTAATCCATTTTACCAAAGGGAAACTTTGTACAAAAGTCGATTGCTTGGGTACCTCTGTCCCATTCATGTTTCAACCGTGAAGCAGTTGTGTTTGCATGGCTGTGTTACGGTTTGAAGGGTGGGATATAGCGTGAATTTACTGGGTACGGAGGAATAACACCTGACTTCTCAGGAATGGCAATGCATGGAGGTTATCATGGGCGAAACAGTATACTCTGTTATATCCATGGTACTGCTCATGTCTATAGGCGACGGTTACCACTTTCCATCAGGTAGGCCGTCAGCTCGTTTGCCATTCTATGTTGTATAAAAAAAAACAAAATCCATAATAAGGTAGGTAGAGACATCTGTCGACTATCAATGGTTCAAATAAATCAATGTTTATAAATAATTGCGATTTGCAATTTGTTTTCGTCCATTTTTATTTCCCGAATTTTATTATGCTTTATTTAAATTTACGATCGGGACTTAATGCGACGAGATTAGAGGTAAACAGTACCTATAAAAATGTAGGATATTTGATTTTTATAGCGTTTTTTTACGTTTCCACGTGGATTGCAGTATGTCGTTAAAAATTAAGGAATGCCGGTACTATTTACTTGTAATCGCATCGCGTTAAGCTCCGATATTGATCGCGAAGTTTAACCCTTCTTTGCATAATTTTTTTTTATTGGTGAAATAAATCAAGGTGACACAAAAATAAATTTGACAGCTATGGTTTTTTTCGACAATGGACATTAAAAAGGTATCCAGACACGATCAACTTAAAGTGAATTTGTTGTTTATGTAATTTTTGCGCATTCAATGTTATAATGGAAATTTCCACCAGTATGCAAAGAAGGGTTAAGTTTAAGAAGCAACGGGGAAGTTTAGAATTGCCGTATTTATTACGCTTTATTCTTTTCTCCTTGAAAAGGATACAACTTCCTTACAATAATCTGTTTAAATACATGCTCATCTTTTATAATTTTATTTAATATATTAGGTATATAATGATTTACTATAAAATCTATATGTGAATATAATATATTAGTAGTTTTATATATTGTACAATATAATCTGTTTATATACTTTAAGAGAATTCTCTTAGGATTGAGTCCGCTTTGCACATCCATATTTACGTACAAAATATAAAATAAATTTAATAGATTTTTTTTTACAGTTGTTGAAATATTTAATGATAATTTAATTTCTAATTTTCAAGTTATTACTAATGAAACTTGTGATGGTAAGTTGACGATCAAAAAATACAAAATAAAATGTAATGGAATTGTAGCTGAACGTTGTCTGTTTATGGAAGAAATTAAAAAAAAATATGTAAGGGGTTTCAACCCTTTTAGTGCCATTGATTTTTACTCATATCTACTTAAAAATGCCAAAGAAATCTTTGTCGTGTTGATGTCATTTACCCTTGTCTCTAAAAAAACTGTATCTCCTCCAAAAATTATCCGATTTTAATATTTTTTTTTACAGCAAGCTAAACAGCGACTGATTTCACGAGCGCTATAATGCTCGTGGCACTTTTAGATGCAATGCGCACGAGCGCGATGGCGCTCGTCGGCACTCAAAGGGTTAGCATGAAAATTGAGGCCAAAACAATAATTTTTAGAAATTTTGTTTCTCTACATGTTTATTCAGGTATCACACAAAAACTACTGCACTAAAATGTGTGGTTTCATTGACGTGTTTCTGAAGATCTAATTTAAAAACTGGTGTATGTTTTATTTTGATATCTAGAAGTGAAATTATTAATAAATCAACCCTTTGAAATCTGAATAGACAAATTATCACATTATATATATATATATATATATATATATATATATATATATATATATATATATATCTTAGAGATGAGTTCGCTTTTGCTTATATTGTTTTTAATTGTTATTATTATTGTATGTTTTATTGCAATAAATAATATTTATATTTATTTATAAATCCTGAATATTCTTCTATAGTAGTTGGCAACACTAATAGCCAGTTGTAAGTGGGACGCTTCTGGAGGCGCCGGCGTCCCACGTGGCAGACGGCGCCCGGCGGCTGCATACGAAATATAGCTAATAGACAGTAAAATATCATCGCCACAATAAACTCGATGTAACTACGACGTATGTACATGCTAGTGCCTACCACAATGGTTCTCAAACTGTTCCTCCGTTAGAAATTTCATGGTCTGTATCTATATAAACTAGCAGTCTTATTTCTAAAAACGAAAATCTCTTATAAACCTATTTTAGCTATTGAAGTATTTTGTCTTTTTTTTTAGACTAATTTGTTAATTTGAGAGACTGAGACAAAATACTGTAATAGTTAATATAGATTTATAGGACGTTTTAGTTTTTATGAAGAAGGGGTTAAAGTATTCAGTAGTAAGTATTATTATTTATCATGTCGTAATTCCAGTGTCCTTTTGTAGTCATTACGGTTAACGTTGCCAGATTGGGTATTTTTAGGTAAAAACTTGTTTCTTGGAAACATTTTTGAGAATTGAAATAGTTACAGAAAATTTTGGACAAAAATAACAATTGTCGTTGATAAATTTAGGTATTTGAAATCCGTATATAATCACAAAACTAATTCGTGTAATTAATAGAGAGGAGCGGTTTTTTTGTACAAAAGTCGATTGCTTGGGTAGGCACCTCTGTCCCATTCGTGTTTCAACCGTGAAGCAGTTGTGTTTGTATGGCTGTGATGGCTTTCGGTGATGTGTGGCTTTCGGTTTGAAGGGTGGGATATGTCGTGAATTTACTGGGTACAGAGGAATAACACCTGAGTACTCAGGAATGGCAACGTATGGGGGGTTTCATGGGCGAAACAGTCTACTCTGTTATGTCCATGGTATTGCTCATGTCTATAGACGACGGTTACCACTTTCCATCAGGTGGACCGTCAGCTTGCTTGCTATTTTAAGTTGTGTAAAAAAAATGCTTTTTTTTTAATAAATCTTATATTGTAAATTCTATAATAATAATTATATTTATATAGATTAACTTTGAGAATTTATGGTTTAGCGTGTAACCTGTGGTGCGGTTTGGCAGAATATCGGTGCCATTTATGCGACGTTCAGAATTGACAGTTGTTGATATTTCACGATACGATTATGACACGAAACGATAATATTCAGTGGCGTTGAACTGTTCACCGTTCCGTTAGTAATCAGGAAACTGATCGTGACTATAGCTAACTAGAATTGTTACAATCCAAAAATCACCCCACTGTTAAACCACAGACCATCATTAAAATTAGGTCATTGTTAATGTGTAACGAAACAAATGTCACTGACCATCTCCCTGGTACAATGCTTGAACATTGCTTTGCGTTATGAGATCCTGAGTTCTCGGTTCGATTCTCGGTCAGACCCGTTTACGAAATGAAGAAATTTTTTTATAATTTACTCGAATTTGAATGTTTTTTTTTACTATTTGGCGAAATGTATCCGTCTGCAAAAACCGAAAATTATGATATAACGTCTAGTTTGTAGGCTAGAGTACTAGTATAGATGTACTGTAAGTGTTATTGAGTGAGCCATACACATCTTCGTCATTTTAGTTGATTTATAGAAAAGAACCGGCTATTATTTTCGAAATACTTTTATGATCTTTTTATAATTTATAACAGAAAAAATAGTCCACATGATGTAATATTGTTATGAACAAATTGAATTGCTTAGCTTAATGTATAGTGTACATTTGATGGATTCACACTGGATGGTGTTCTCTACCAGTTAACCATTGGCCATACATTTCCAATTTACCTGCCACTTCTAGTGATCGGGATATATTTGCAAACCGGGATAATAATAATAGCCTATATCCTTCTCCATGACATACAGTACGTGGATATCAAATTTCATAGTGATCGGTTTAAGGCACTGTAAGCTAAAAAACCAGCCCACTTTCACATTTGTAATATTAGTATGTACTGTATTAAATTTGAAATAAATATTTTTTTTTTCTATTAATGTAGGTATTTTTAATATTATGACAATTAGAACAAATTGGGTTATTGAGCATATACAAGACTTTAATTTTTGTGCATTGATATAACGTAAATAGATACCAGAGAAATAAATAGATTAATTTTTTTGTAAACACATGAATTTATAAAATTTTGTAAGGGATCTTATAGCTGTTTGTTAATGTTGCCAAAATGTTTTTTTTTAACATTTATAAATAGTATATACAGTCACATATGTTTTTTTTATCTAAATGTTGTAGCTAAATTGAATTGAAATAGATAAAATAAATCTATAAAAATATTTTATTGGACCAGTGGATTTTGTATAAAGGATGGACTTAGAGAAGCCGTGGTAAATAATTAAAATATTTCTGAAAATTATAAACGCGAGAACTTAGTTATAGTTTTATAGCATCATGAATAGATAGGTGCTGAAACTTTCACGAGTTTGCCGGATAAATACACAGTCTGTGTCGGGCGGGCATCGCGCGCCCACTAATCCTGAAGTATCCGTTAAATAAAGTATTATACTTGGTCTATAATTTAACAGTTGGTCATAGTGTGAGATTATTTGTTCAATGTTGGTAGTAAAACATTTACTCAGTGTGTGTATGTGTGTTATGCCAACGATGAAGACAAATGACGTTTTAATGGAGTTACTTGATTGTTTAACAGAGGTCGATCGTCGTTTGTTTCTGTAAAAAGGTACGTTTTATGCAGTTTCATGTTAGATTACAAATTAATTATTATACCTACTGTAATTATAATTATTGCCAGATTTTGCAGGTTACTTTGTACGCGTGGATTTTGGAAGTAGGAAAACCAACGAAATAGACCACTTCTAGATGACGTTTCAAAATAAAATATACACAATTTTTTTAATTAGACCTTCAGAAATACAGCAGTGGGCAGTACATATAATTTCATGCAGTAGTTTTTGCATCATGTCGGAACAAACATATTGGCAAACATTTTTTTTTAAATATTGTTTTGGTTTCTATTGCTTTTATTAAAACCTTTTACAAGATTTTTTTGATCATCCATAAATCGCACGGACATCGTTCAGTTACAAATTTATTATATTAGTAAGATATATTAATTCTAACTATATGTTTTCTTTGAGTTATTTGATTAGTTTTGGAGGCATTTTTTTAATGAATGATAATGCAAAGGTAAATCTTTTTGTAATATAGATAAAAACATTTCGCCGACCCCATACAATAATTGGGATAAGGGTAGGAAGATGATGATAATGCAAAAGTACAAAGGTAAGGGGAACCACGTGGAGGTCGACCTGATAATGTATATTGCTAGCAATAGGACTGGTAGTCCGCATTACTAACAATCCCTTCCCCCCTTTCGGAGGTGTTCAGTGCTTTTAAACATGTATGGTGGTATTTTGTAAATACTTTAACATTATAAATACCTGTTTTAAATCTTAAATTTTTACATATCACAGAATGATCATTAAGCAGCCTCGTAGAGGTTATTTACACTTTTTATTCATTTTTACATTTATACTGTAAGTAGGATTTTTTTTATGTTTATTCTATGCCATTCTATTTTCATACAACACGCTTAAATGCTAAATCGTAATCATTAAAAAAATATATTATCATCTATATTTTCTTGCTGTGGCTTTACCAGCAAGTTGAGTAAGTAGGAGTCTAGAGCGATATAGAGGTGGTAAAGGGGTTTTTTTTTTGTAAACATGAAGTTACAATTTCATTCGGTAAAAAGTTATATGTAGTATGATTGTAAACAAGGGTATTGAATTGTAGAGGTTGGTAAGGATAAGTTTGAATAGTCTACTGGCGCCAAATGTATTGTAATGTATACAAAGCCACCATTACTTTCTTACCTTCGTAACTTAAGTTATTACCACGCGAGTATTATTGCTTATAATTGATAGAAATAAGTAAATTAGTGGTAATTACGGAAGTGAGTCATCGAAACTGGTAAATAATAGATGTTAATACAAATGATCTTAAAACTAGTAGACAATGCATTAGACACAATAGTCATGTTTATTTGCTATGTAGTTCCGTTTATCCGACGTTAACATATTGTTGTATTTTTCATTGTCTGATGGTGCATTTACTTTGTTGTTTATTCTTTTGAATAGTTTGTTAATAGCGATTTCTATAATTCATTAAGTTATTTAAATAATAAGAATCGTCTCATTATTCTTATTACGTTTAACCGATTTTTAAAATCAGGAAGTTTTCAATTCCTTTGCATTTTTTTTATGTTTATTATAAGTCCGTCAGATGTAAATCGATTTGGAAAATTCTTTTTTTATTTATACTTACAGATTGGTCTCAATACAAATTTTATCAAAGTCGGTTCTACGGTTTAGTTTTCAAATTGAAATTCAAAATCAGAACATAACTTAATTATATAATTTAAAAAATTTGTTTCACAAACTGACTTAAATCGTGGGAAAATAAGTTATTTTAATTTAAAAATCAAACTACTGGACCATAGGAATTTTATCAAAATTGGTTTATTAGTTTCTAAATTAAAGTAACTGGAATTGCAATAATTAAAGCTGTTTTTTTTTTAATTTAAGATTTCTAGGTTACTTAGAATAAACTGCATTTTAATGATTGTTATTTAGACGAGCACGTGAATACATAGATCGAAATAAGTAGCTGAATACTAATTTTGTTCACAACATGTCGCCGATCTGGCGCGACTTCAGATTATTGAATATCAAATGGCTACATAGACTAATTAACACTAACAAATATGGCATATACCTGTACTATTAAGATATAATATTCGCAGAAATATTGAAGATAATTATAACTTGTTAGAGTACAGTCTTACGGTGCAGTGGTTGATACGTTGCTATGTGAACAGTGTTCAGGATAAAATTTTAATCAAGCTAATTTTGGAGACGAACTTATGTATATAAATTAGTTTTTGACTGACTGTTCTAGCTCAAAACTAAATTTTTTAAGGCAGGGTATTCTAGCTTAAAGTCAATTCGCGTGATTTTGTGGTATTTACCTATATATTTACCAGCGAATACTAATAATTGGTTTAATACGATCATCATACCATCACACACCAACCGTCAACTATTTACTGCTGAATATAGGCTGCTTTTAGTAGCTTAGTCGATGCCATGCTTGACACACTTAGGCTTAATGATGGACACTAATTGACTTGTTTAACAAACAAGCTTTAATCACGATATTTTATATATGTTACATATGGTGCGATTTATGAGAGAATATTTGAAACTTCATTCCTTGAGGGTCAAATAGGTGAAACAAGTTTATACAAAAGTTGCCCATGAGAGATCTCCTCTGGTCCAAGGTGACTTTGTATAAAAGTTATCTGTATGAGTATCTTCGTCCTACTCATGTTTCTGCTGACAAACAGTTGTGTTAGTATGGCAACGTTTCGATTTGAAGTTTCGGTTTGGCGAGATATGTTACTGAAATTACATAATAAGGAAACATTTAGCAAATCTCAGGAATAGCCACGTGTCGACGTAATGGCGTACCATAGTCGCAGTGTATTCTGTTATGTTGACAGGGATTTTTGTCCACAGGGGATAACTTCCAATTTCCATCATTTGACCTGCGAACTTGTTTGCCATTCTTTTTCTCTCTCCTGATGGTAAGTGACTACAGCCTTTCATGATCACCTACAACACCAGAGTGTGCGAGTGAGTATTACAGGTGTGCTTATGGCCTATTTATTTTACGTATGTTTGCCATTCAAAGTTGCATAATAATGTGAATTTTGCCTAATATACTAAAAGGCAACAAAGTTATAATCAAATGCAAGAGAAATCAATAGCATCAGGATGCTACTTACATTATTTTATCGTGGCTCTGATACTTATTAGTTTTCATCGTTATTTTACTCATTAACTGACGGACCGGTTATAAAACCACTTGTCCGTAGCAATCGGCACTCATATTTCAATTGTGCCTAACGACCAAACCACACATGCAATTTTTAGTTGCGCAATTTATTGGCAGCTGCGACGCTATAAATTTGTTTATTAGAATTATCATGATATACTTATTGCAGATTCCACCTTTCATTTATTCGTGCAAACTTACCCCCTTCATAAAAACAACAAACTTGTCATAAACCTATTCTAGTTATTAAACTATTTTGTCTTCTTCTCTTACATTAATTCTAATTTCTCAATTTGAAATGAAGTGACAAAAGTATTGGCGATAGACCTATTATTACATATTTATTATATAGTTATTTAACAGATAACTCTATGGCCTAAACATTAAATTAGAAATATACTATCTCATTGTATGTAACATAACTTTGTAATTAATTTGTTTGCTTTTGAGTTATTGGTTCCGCGTCTAGATACTATCATAAAACGAGGTACGAAACTATCATTGTCTAACACACATATATTTATACAGCCTATACCGGTTAAAAGTTGCTGATAATGGTTATATGACCATTGTTTGCTATTCGTTGGAGAAGTTCATTTTCCATTATTTTATACTTTTTTTTACTGTCTTTGTGGTATTTTAGAATATATTTATGCATACTTATTCATATTCATTTTTAATAAAATTATACTGAAATAGATATACGAGCAAATATGGAGTTATTATAGTAAGTTACATCGCAATGTGGTTGCGATTAAAAGTAGCGCGTCTGTACCGTTTGTGTAAATGAGAGTACGCTTGTTTTTCTCACTGTACCTCGCTCTATTTTGTTGGCGCCAGCTTCAATCACAGCACTTTACGAGTGTTTAACATTTTACAATTATTGTCGTCTTATTTCTATAATATTAATTAACTATGTAGACTCTTGTTTCTTCGTACGATGCTCTACATTAAAATGAATCTTTAATTTGACAAAATTGTTTTATATGTATATGCTGACAATGCAGACGATTAAGTTAATTACAAACGAAGAAATAAAGTGTAAAATTTTCAACTTTGTATAGTTCTTAATGATTATATTATCATGTATATAGGAGAACAACATTCCGGAGTTATTGATTTTTAGATTAATTTATTAATATATTGATTCACTTTTGAAATCGGTAAATCATTAAAGGATTTACTTTCTTGAGCAATAATGAGATCACTTCATATTGACTATGTATTTATTATGACAATCATTATCGTCCCACTCAGATCAAAAGGTGTGATGACAAATTGGGTATTATCGCTCTGTCATTGCAGCGATGGATGGATCTATACGTTGATAATTTTGAAGTATATATTTTAACATTATTATAATGTCCTTATTGAAATGTAAAATTTAGTTTGTTGGCTCTTGGCGCTTTACAGCTAAAACGTCATCATGATTTGGTATGTACAATTTGGCATGAAGAAGGACATACACTACTTTTTATCTCGGGTAATTATGTGTCTCGGTCATGCAGATGAATTGGCGAGTAAAAATTAATTGTATTACTTAACTTATTGTTTACTGTATTAGGAAAACATACAACTTCTAGAACATATGAATAATTAATATAGCAATATCATAAATTAGTGAATTTCCATAAAAAACTGACACATCAAATAAAAAAGAAAAGATGATAAATATGAAAAAAAGTACCTAACGTAAAGAAAAGTTATTACAAGTACATAAATATGTAAGATTTTACTTATTGCTACTGGTTAAAATAATATATTTACATCAAAGCAATGAATAGAAGAAAACAACTTTATAGGAAGACGTGTGTTTATGCA